ATTTACTTTACTGTTTTTACATTTTCGCACTTTCTATTTCAGTTTTAAACAACTCTGTGATTGAAAAACCTTTTTCTACAAAATTTAAAAGAGATTTTATTTCTGTTCAATAATTTTCAAAAAGGGGTCATAAATTTTAACTTTGTTTTTTAAACTACCAATTCACCCCCCTCTTGGTAGCCGTGGGACATTCACTTAGGATTAACAACCTAATTACTAGACTCAACAATATTATGGTTATAAAAATTAGCAATTGATCAAAATTCAAAAAGTTTTCAAACTTAATTTTATGAATCCCGCTCTGATACCACTTGAAAGTTCATTAGAAATGTTAAGCCTTTATGAACTAGTCCCGAGGCTAACCAAGTGGGGAATGAATTAGAGATTTAAAAACTTCTTTAACTAAAAGAAAAATCTTATAGCATAAACAAATTATATCAATTATAAAAAGATTAATAAGAGATTTTACCCAAGAAGTTAATCGTATTAAAAGATAAAGTGCATAAGATAATCAGAAAGCACACCAGATTTATAGTGGTTCAATCCAACCTGACCTACGTCTACTACTTAGAGGCACCCTCTAAGTATTCCACTAAACCTTTAGTGACTCTCTTTTAGCCACCATATCTAGGCAGAGAAGCCCTTACAAAATCACTTCTACCTTCCCCGGTGTAGTCGGGTAGCTGAGTCCTTTGACACCAAAGAGATCTTCTTTTTCCCAAAACATCCCTCAACACAAATCCTGAATTTGATGGTACTAAAGTGCAAGCTTCTCAGAGTAACTATGTGATACCCCCTTCACACTCCCTTCAAACCTCCTCTAAGGATCTTCTCCCTCTCTCAAACTCCACCCTTTCCTATTTCCCTTTCAAGTTCTCTCTTCGAGTTTTCTCCAAAAGAATGATGCTTCAATGGCTGCCAAAGAAACTTACTAAGTCCCTTAATAAACATTAAATAGAGGGCATTTAAAAACCCTAAAAATCAATCCTTGGGAAAAATTACCAAGAATGATCGTAGGATCATATCGTACAATATGCTTAAAAGAGGGCTTTAGAAAACCCTAAAAACTCAATTATGGCTCCAAATATCATCATGGATGATCAAAGGATCATTAACTATGATGTGTATAATTCGACCTGATAGTCCTGGATGATATCAAGATAGTCACGGATGATCTGTTCAAATTTGTACAGATCATCCAGGATGATATTGTGGATCGTTCTACACAATTTGAAGAAAAATTATGGTATTTCATCTTAGATGATTTAGGGAAATCAAATATATCGACAAACATTATCCAATATTATATACAGATCATCCAGGATGATCAGATGTAAAAATTTAATCATAATTAGTCCCCAAATCACATGATCAATTAAGGCATGGTTGATATTAATCATTTATGATGATCTAGATCATCTAGGACGATTAGAACAAATATTGAATCTTAAAACCTTACCTAAATTATCATTGGCGACTATTTTCCAAGATCATAACGGATCATCATGGATGATCTAAAATCATCCAGTATGATTAGTTTAATGAGCTGATTATCCTGGACATTCAAAATAATCCAACATGATTCATTCAAAACTTGAACTTCTGGTTTTTACTAGATCTCACTCCCTTAGGTATGTATGAGCATGGACACCAAGCTACAAAACACCTTTATAGGACTTGACTCAAGAAATCAAAATTACATCAATGAAAATTGTAAACCCTTTATATCATGACCTTATTCAACCCAATCTTGAGCTCTAATTCTTTATTGTATGTTATATGGTATTCCTGAAATGTTAGTATTTAAATAAACAAATATATAATTAAAAATACTATGAAATATAAAGATGTTTGTTATCATCAAAAATATAAAACTCATGAGCTTGAGTTGCAAGAAAGTTTAATTTGGCTATTTCTCTAACAAATTCTTTTTGGGTAATATTCCTAAGATTTTTCATGCTTGCATGTCAAAGTCTTTTATGTAATAACCAATATTCTTCAATAATAGCTTTTAGATAAAAATTATGAAAATATTTAACATAATTTAAATCAAGCATGTATATATTATTAACCCAATTTCCATGCAACACATCAATTCCATATAAGCATATAATGTAATTTGTAGGTAAAAATTTAATGTTAAAACCTCTTTCACAAAGGTGACTAATACTTAACAAGTTTCATTTTAAGCCTTCAACAAATAAAAAATTCTCAATAAAGAAATTATTCTATTGCTAATCATATATGTACCTACCACACTCCTAGTGGTATTATCTTCTAGTATCACTTTTACTCCAACAGTAGTCTCTAGCAAAATTAATTGAGTCGTATCACCAATCATATGTTTTGAACATCCATTGTCCAAGTACCAAATGCTCTCACAAGAGAATTGTATGAGAACATTTCAATAAAGTTATCAAATGTTAGACTTAAGAACCCAAATAAATTTGGGTTTGCCTCTTGATAATAAAAATTTAGATGCATGCCTGATATGTTGTGATTTATGCATGTTAGGAAATATTTTCATATTATAAATTATGCAAGTGTAGGAAATATGTCCTATCATTTCACATGAAAAAAATTTTACACCATGAAAAGGATTACCAATCTATATGAGTAATAATGTCTTTTCCTAGATTTTGAAATTGTATGCTTTTGATCAGGATTATAAAATTATTCAAGTGTGGGAGGTATCTTATTTTCCTTAAAAGCTTTCAGTTTTTATTTAAGATAAGAGTTTACACTTTCTAAAATTTAATTATAAACTTTTAAACTCATATTCTCTTTGATTCTCTTTAGCTATAAACACACAAAAATCATTAACAAGATCAATATATGATGTTTTCAATAAATCATGTTTCTTATTTAAATCATCAAATTCATCCAGCAATGCCATGTGGTTTCTTTATATGGATGAATGATCTTTCCAAAGATTTTCATATTCTTTTTGTAAATTCAAATGCTTGAGGTTAAGATTTGTATGTAATTTTTTAAGCTTCATATATGCTTTATGAATTTTCATAGAAACTTCAAATAATTCAT